AGAATTAATAAACCAGTAGCATAGACAAATAGTATAGACAATGACCCTGGCATGAGGTAAAGCAATTTTAAGGATTGATTGATTTTAAAGATTCACTTACGCGTTGTAGAAGTATCCCGAAAATAATCGTCCAGGATGCGAAGGAAAAGAAGTCGGATAGTCAAATATGCAGAACATTAACGACGATAGGTAATATTACCGTAGGAAAAATTGATTCTAATATTAGTTGCCGTCTTAAACGCCGCAATTTTCCTTAACATGACATGATTTTTCTGTAACAAACTAGCTTTAGTAATTGCCTAGTTCAAGAAAAAAGTCCACTATCTTTAGCTAATTAGAATCAAGAAAGATTAGCAAATATATAAAAAATAGTATAAGGACTCATGTATGTTTGGCTAGTAACACTTTTTTTTTTTTTTTTAATTTAACACCTAGAAGAATACAACAATCAATTATAATAAATAAATAATAAAGTGAAATTGATAAATAGAGGATATTACATAGGCGCGCGGAAATACGAAATTTATCTTCGAGTGTTGAAAAGATCTCTCACAAGTGAGCGCAGCGAACGAGTGAGAGATTTTCAACACGAGAAGATAAATTTCGTATCTCCAAGCGCCCATGTAATATTCTGTTTATTATATAATTATCAATGAAGTATGTTTTGGCTTTTTCAGGCAATTCTTTCCTTGTATTTTTGAATAGCCACCGCAATGGTGTTATTTAAGATATCAATTTTTCGAAATAAAGAAAAATAGATATTTCATTGKTAATTATATAATAATACATTTTATTATATATTATCAATTTTAGATTTTTTTATCTGCTTGTAGATTGTGTGAAGTAAAGAATATTTGATACCAAGAATATAATAAATAAACAACAATAAATAAATAATGATAATAAATAACAAATAAATAATAATGTGAAATTAAGAATGAATAATTTTGCCATGAAATATCTCGAAAAACCTGCAATGCAAAATCTGCTTCCAATGTTATTCTCAACACGTCCATTAAAGTACATATTAAATTCCCTCTGTCTCGTAACTAACATGTTTATAGATTTTATTAAAGATATTGATAGATATGGCGGCAAAAATCACCGCCAAAGAGATTGTCTACTAGAAAAAGAATAATTCGATGATAAATTAGAAATTGTACGTAAATTGGCGGGGGAAAATCACTAATTAT